TATAAAATTATTTTAATCGTCTAGGTGCTCGGTGGGTCCAGCGTTTTGAACGGGATGATGTACGTACGCGGTAACCGAAGAGACTACGACCAATGGGAAGCACTTGGGAACCCGGGATGGAATTACACAAACGTTTTGTATTATTTCAAAAAATCCGAAGATTTTCGAATCAGAGAATTCCAAAACTCTTCTTACCACAGTACCGGTGGACCTCTGTCGGTGGAAAATAACAGGTATCACGCACCCGTCATTGACTACTTGGTAAGAGCCGGTACCGAAATGGGTTACGAGTACGTCGACATAAACGGAGCCTCGCAAACCGGATTCACTATCACTGAGGTAAATCAGGGGATGAGAATCGGTCATCTACGTTCGATTTTAAACTTTTTAATTGCAATTAGTCGACGCTGAGGGATGGATTGCGGTGTAGCGCGGCGAAGGCTTTCCTCCGGCCCGCTTGGAGGCGAAAGAATTTACAAATCATCATCGAATCTACCGTAGAAAAGATTCTAATCGCGAAAGGTGAGTTCCTTCTTTGATATCACAAAAGTGGACGATAAATGAATCGTATTTTAGATGAGAACAATGAGAAAAGGGCGTACGGGGTGAAATTTCGAGACGGGTCGAGGGTTCACACGGTGAGAGCCAAACGTGAGGTGATCCTGTCGGCCGGCGCGGTGATATCGCCGCAGGTTTTAATGCTGTCCGGAATCGGGCCGAGGGAACACTTGGAGGAATTGGGAATCCCTGTGATTCACGATGCACCTGGCGTGGGCCAGAATCTACAGGACCACGTGGGCATTAGCGGATTAGACTATTTGGTGGACAGGCCAGAGAATTACACGTCCTCCGCGAGTTTCAGTTCTGGATTATTAAACGTTATAAATAATAACACTGTCAGAGAATTTCTTGTGAATTACACTGGCCCGATGTACTCGTATGGTTTGCTAGAAGGCACGGCGTTTATTTTTACTAGGTGAGCAGATTCAGCGTGTTTGTTAAAAACTATTAAGAGGGTAAATTTCGATAGCTATGTGATAACAGACTGTTAATGTTAGTCACAAAATTAGTAAAAAATATCAGTTTACAAGAATACTGTTCGCTCTTATAGGAGAATATTTTGTGGTCTTCAGGCACCTGTTCAGAAAGAGAAAAATCAAATCAATGACCAGCTTTCGTTATTATTTAGTCATATGAGCGTTACAACATGGACGAAAAATCGTAATTGCAATGCTTCTGTTTGTAAGCTATTTTTTATTCGACACAAATATTA